TCAATAAAATTAAAAAATTCTAATTCACTAATAGTTTTATACAAAAAATTACATAAACTAATTTTTTCAATCTATTAGTGGTTTGGATTCTAACCACTATTATTTAGTCTTTAATTGATAAATAAAAATTTTACCAAATATTTTATGTATAATAATTTTAAAATATATAAATTTATCAAACAATTATATTTAATAATTTGAATAAAATCACTTACCGCTATCTCAAAATTATTATACGGAATGGGTCCTTATTATATCATGTCGAAGGAAAACGATGATTGCTATGAAAAACTAAGCCGAAATTTTGACAACGGTTGATTATGAAGTGAGATTTTTACGGGTCCCACATAGTCAAAAGTAAAAAAAATTTACAATAGTTTACATCTAAAAATTGAGAATTTAAAAATAATCTGTTTTGATCCAATAACATTAGATTTTGAATTAAAATTATTTATTTTTTTTTAGTTGTTTTTTTCAATTTTTTTCTTTTTTTTTTTTTGCTCATATATATTTGTAAATAATGATAAAATTATTAAAAAAAAAGAAATTGAGGATTCAGGTTTCTATGATTAATTTTTTCGTATAAATTAATCATAGGCGACCTGTTTTTCAATTAAACATTAAATAACAATTTATGCAATAAATAATATGCCTTTTGATTTCCAAACTCAAATCCCTATTAAATCGAGTTTTCAGCATAGGTTGTATGGTCATTGTGTAAATATTTTATTCATACTATCAGAATTTAATTTTTTTGTATTTTTTTTTTATTTCTCTTTCTTCGATTATCCTTATTTCTTTCAATTAAAAAAAACCTCTTTTTACGTATTTCAAAATTTAAAATTCAGATATTTAACAATAAAACTCAAACTCTTAACACATATATCCTGAGAAACAAGCAAGGGGAGCTAATGGTAACGAAAGCTGGTCCCATTATTATTATATTAATGAATTTTTTATATTAAATATAAATTAAAAATATATTTATTTAATTATTTTATTTTATTT